AACCACACCACCACAGTGCCACATTTCACAAGCCACAAATTTAAAAGGGAAAACTTTCCTTGCCTTTCTGTAAAAGTCATTGGTCACTTTTTAATTAATCTGTTTCAAGAACAGTCAAGAAAAAAATGTAAAAGTGCACAAGACAACCCAGGAAGGTAATATTGGTAGCTTTTAGGTTATGGTTCCATTAGGGAAGTCTGAGAAAATGCCACTGTAAGGAAGAAGTATAGCAGTTTTATTAAATTTATTTCTTTATGTGAATTTTAAAATCTGTTTATTACCAGATACCCAGATTATCTTTCAAAACTGTCATGTGCACTTTTGTCCTTTTTTTCTGACAATCTTTTGCAGAGGTCATGCATTTGAATCCCATTCAGACCTTGTTTTTACTACTGCTTAAGTAGTGTTCATTACTGCAAAGATTGCTTTCAATTTTTTTTTCCTTCAGAGTTTTCAACCAGGCTAGTCTCACTTGTTTGAATATGTTTTTGGATCAAATGTGGTAATAAGTACTTTGTATATCTGGGGAAGGTGAATGTTTTGTATTTGGTTTCTGACTTGTAGCTGAAATGTGTAAGCTCTTGCTGTGTATGAGGTGTTTATTTATATGATACAATTCAAATCAATTAACTCTGAATACCTGCTTGTTAATTCTTCCCTATAGCTGCTACATATATTTCTTTACGAATAAGTTATGAGCATTAAGTGGTAGATAACATCTACTTGATTAGTTAGAGTATTCTCATTACCCGTTTGCTGGATGATGTATGGATATTACAGGGAGAGGTTACAGGTTAATCGCTTCTGAGAGTAAAAGGGTTGAAGTCTCAAGCTGAAATGATTTTTGTATTTTGTGCCAAGTTTATCTCTATTTCTGTTTTCATCCTTTGCGTATGTTACCATCCTCGTCTAAAACTGATCTCAGTAAGAATGCCTTTGATCTGTGTTGCTTGTCAGTGTGGCCTGGTGGCAGACTTTTGTAGATTTCTTTTCAATCAGAAACAAAACAATAGAAACTAACCCAGAGAATTGTCAGCAGTAAATTTTGATATCATTTTGTATAATGTTTGATCTCATGGAACATATTTTGAATACAGTAAATTAATTGGGAAGATTATTGTAATTTCATTATTTATATGAGAAGTATAATAAATTACTTTGTAACAACACAAACAATTTTTGGTATTGTTCATGCTATTTGCAGTAATTGACAGAAGTTAATTGAAATTATCATCTTAAACTTCATACAGGAGCAAGGCTAGAAATTTTTGAAAAGGCACTGGGTTCAAAGTTACAAATTCCCATGCAACCTTACATGATGTGGTTTTATGGCTGCTCTTTCCTGTGTATGATCAAGCTCTTAATCATGCTGAGAGTAGGATCAGCAAATTGAGTGTTTACCATGTAAATTTTCAAGATTTGCACATTTTCATAAACCTGTGTTTTTAGATTTGTGTGTTCTTGACACCAATAAAAGTATCTCACAAGAGGATAGGATCATGGGAACTTCAGAATACCTCCCAGCTACACCCCTGTTAGGATACAATTTGCCCTGGGGAGGGATGGGAATGTCACAAGAATTACTGATGAGAAATTGTAGCTGGAGTTGTCTACTTAGTGGATTTGGTTTGTGATTGTCTGTGGGCTGTTGTTAGAGGAGCTTGCAGTGAGACCCTCTATTAAAGTTCAACCCTATCATCTGATTGTTTTATGTTTTCCCCTCTAGCTGCTACATATTTCCTTGTTTCAAGAATTTGGTTTTATATCAATCAAGGTATATAGCACCTTCAACATGACAAGTTTGAGTTTTCTCACCAAACGTTTGGTGAATATTGTATGGTTATTGATGGGAGATGTTACATGTTAATCACTTCTGGTAGTTAGAGGATTAAGGAGTATTGCCTATGGAGACAGAACAAAACACCAAAGTCCTAGAGAGCCAAAGATTTCAAATGCACCTAAAGAGGCAGGGAACTTAATCTTGAGGACCTTGGTGTGTAGAGCTTTATCAATGGAGTCACTTTACTTTGCATGCAAAACTTGGCACTGATAGAGTAGTTTTCCTGTTCCATAGCCTTGGCCAAATGTCACATGATTTGAAGATTCTTATCCAGTCCTTAATTCAGCCCCTTTATGTGACTTAAGAGCCACCATTGACTAGTGTTAAAAAAAATTAAGAAAGATAGCATGCAAAATTAAAAAAGATTATTTAATTTGAGATCACTCACTGATTCACTTCTTTGTGATTAAGGTATTTGAAGTTCACCTGATTTTATTTTTCTAATTGGGTAGTAACAGTGATTGTCAGAACATGCATATGAAAACACAACTTGGTTGATAGTGGGTAGTTTCCAAAAAGGAAAGAAAATGCAAAGACAAAAACCCAATTAATTTTTTGTTTAATACCATGTAAATGAGGTGACTATGCTTGGTTATGGAAAAAAATATCAATATAACCTTCTCAATTCAAACAACACCATAACCTTCTAATTTATTGATCATATGGTATATATTTAGAAAAAAAGATGAAAGGAACTAAGCTAAAAGCAGGTGAGATAAGCAGGTGCTACCGCACCTTGCCTAAATCCGAGATAAAAAATAGCAGCGAATGAGAAGAGTTCTTATTGAAATCACGATTCATTTCAGCCAATTAAAATGCGCGTTAGATTCACCAAGCCCTGTAATTTTCCATGAAAGAGGTACACCCCGCAGTTTGGTTAGCACATGCGTGGCAGCCCCACGCCAGTTAGTTCTATTGAGCAGCCGCCATCGCGTTCTCTTTTCCGCGCAAGTCGAACGGACAGCTTCTTTGCGCAGATTCAGAAACTTTGCTGAGTTATTTTGATCCTGCCGTCAAACCAGGTATCTTTACTGTGTTTAACCTAAGGCACTCGTCTTATTTCAGCAGTTATGGAGCTTAGTTTGTCGATTGAAAGTGTAAGTATGACCGCGGGGCTTTTGTAGCGAAAGGAGAAGTTTACCAGGCGAAAAGATTGTAATTTTCGAACAAAAAGGGGCTTGCTCTCTCGCGATCAACCACGGAAATAGAAGCGATTTATGGCGATAGAGTGGGCTACAGCCGCGACATTTTGTTAATTTTTCTTGGGATTTTTCTGATGAGAAACTTGAGTTGTAGCGAAGGTTTCGACATGAATTTTGTATTAATTCGTCGCGTGAAGATTCAGTGAACAGTCATAAAAAAACTGGTGTAATTGTGTTCGGTCTCAAAGGTGACGGTATGTTTTGAATTATTTTCCCATAGCAAACTGGCTCAAGTCGGTCTTCATCAAGTGGGGTTATCCCAGGCTCTGACGCAAGGCAATTTACAGACCTTGCAGATGTCTCATTCCATGTCTCAGTCGATGAGTCAAATGTCGGATGATGAGCCATCTTCGCCGGAGTCGACAACCTTCGACGGCTCGGACCTGCTGAATTCCACGGTCGGCGATGAAGTCACAGCACAGCTTGCGGCAGCAGGGCCAGTTGGAGTGGCTGCTGCAGCGGCTATTGCGACTGGAAAGAAGCGGAAAAGGCCACATTCGTTTGAAACGAACCCGTCGATCCGAAAACGCCAACAAACTCGTCTACTGCGGAAATTGAGAGCGACGATTGACGAGTACACAACTCGAGTTGGACAGCAAGCTGTTGTGTTGTGCGTGTGCCCTGGAAAGCCAAATCCGCTTTTTAAGGTGTTTGGTGCCGTTCCTTTAGAAAATGTGGTTCGAAACCTTAAACAGCTTATTCTTCAAGATCTAGAGCATGCTTTAGCAGAGCATGCCCCTCCACCTCCCCCAGAAAATCCAGATATCTACACACTACCCCCTCTTGTCATCGATGGCATTCCAACTCCTGTTGACAAAATGACCCAAGCCCAGCTCAGAGCATTTATTCCCATGATGTTGCGCTATTCCACTGGTCGCGGGAAGCCAGGCTGGGGGAAGGATTCAACACGCCCAGCTTGGTGGCCATCAGATTTGCCGTGGCAGAATGTTCGCAGTGATTGTCGCAGTGAAGATGAAAAAGCCAGAATCTCCTGGACAAATGCTCTGCGACAGATTGTGAAGAACTGCTACAAGTTCCATGGAAGGGAAGATCTGTTACCAGCTTTCTCCGAGGGAGATGCCACACAGCACCAGTATGTACAGCAACAGCATCAGATGGTACATACCATTTCAAATGCTGATGGAACAGTGTCGCTGATACAAGTAGATGCATCAGGTGCTGTCAGCACTCTATCAGATGCAACCACTTCGCAAACAGAAGCAACCCAGGCTGTGGCAACATTGGCTGAAGTTGCTGCAGCAACTCAAGTAGAAGTAACTCTTCCTCATCCAGGTCAGGGTGACGGAGTGGGAATTGACCAAAGTGATTTGTCACACACAGAGGCTATTGCACAAGCAGCTGTTGCCACTCTAGCAGAAGCCACCCTTGCTGATGGAGGGCAGATTGTTTTGCCAGAACATGCTGCTGCTGCAGCTGCAGCATTGGCAAATGTTCAGGATAACTTGAATACTTCTAACATGGTCACCATTCCAGTTCAGGCAGCAGCATCTCTCATGCAGATTCAAACTCATCATTTACCTGCTAGTACTCATTCTCAGTACATCTCTGCATCAGTTCCCCAAGTAGCAATGGCACCTCATTCAATAATTCAGACAGTGACGACCTCCACAATGGGACATGAAGTCCACACCCAGA